GGGGGGGGGGGGGGGGGGGGGGGGGAGGGGGGGGGAGGGGAGAAGTATTCAAAGCAACAACAAGATAGAGTATTCTGTAGCCCATCCTCTGAAATAAGCGGCCAAAAGTGCTCCAGTTTCTAATCACTGTGCGCATCAGCTTCGTACTAAACATCGAAGAATTAAACGAATTAATAATCCGCTAATTTTCACTTTAGTGTTTTCATGACGGCCTTCTTCTCAGCACCCTCTACTCGTAAAGAATTACATTTCTCCGTTCCAACTTGAAGGAATGCAGTGCCTCCTGTTTATTTGCTTCCTCCAGCTCCTTTGTGTTTTTATGGCTAACCATCCTACTCTCTGCGACTTTTATCACCATGTCTTTTTACCACCAGTTTCAACCTGAAATGATAAAATCTGGGATTTAGTATGCCCGTTAAAATACTTCCCACCTTGTGACTTTGGGTGCAGAAAACCGAAAACAGCCTTTATGATGCTTCGGAGAATTTAGGTCTTGTGCATTTTTGTTCTGCGGGAACACGTCAACATTTGAGCTGCCAGGTGCGTGACTCAGTTTTCCTCTTTTTTGCGGGCAGTTCGTTCCAAAGTTTGCTTGAATTTTGGATTTCCTTGTACGTGACGATTAAAAGTGATGCTTCCTTTTTACATCATAACAAAAAGTGCTTGGAAGAAGTGCTTTGCCATTAGCAAGGTGCATCTGCATCTTCCAGGAGCAGGCAGCAGCACAGGGCTGGGAAATCCTGTGTGGCTGGAAGGAAAGGATGGTCCCCCGGCGGGCGTCACTGTCCTTTTTGCTAAAGTGCACATTCGGCAACAGCATTTGGGCTACACGCAACTGTTGCGTTTTATCGCCGTCAATCGCATAAAAATGCTGCGATGGTTAAATTTTATTGCCTTTGGTGTATTTTGCAAAAAAAGGGTGGAGGGAACGACCGGGCGACCTACCGCATCGAACGAACGCTCCTTCCTCTGCACCTACCTCTCTGCGCCCCATTCTCCAGGACGACCTTCAATAGACACACACACACACACACACTCACACAGCTCCATACGCCATTAAATGTTTTTTAAGCGACGCTTGGCGGTTGCTTTGATTCCTTTCTCTGTCATTTATGTGTGTGTGTTCTGTTTCAGAAAAACTGTGTTGTTATGTGGAGGGGGACCACACGCAACACGGTTAGAAGAGAGCACTAAATTATTGCTTGCAATGAATCGCCGTCCCTCAGTGCGAGAGAGAGAGGGATGCACAGCTCTCCGTTTTTGCAAAGAACGAGGCGATCGGCTTTTTCCTATTGCTTTCCATAAATTTAATTTCACTGAGACAGGAAGATTTATTCGATCACATGTGTGCAATCGATTCCCGGCGAATAATGAATTGTGAGTGGCCGTCGTCTTTTCCCACACAAATGCGCTTTTTATTTTTTATGCAACACATTTTGCCGCACATTTTAATTTTGCGCCCCACCGTTGTACATTTTCTGAAGTTTACCAGAGTTGCATAAGTTTATCATCACATCACAGCACAGATGCTACAGCGGCCTTCCTTGATCAGACTGCGCTGATTTTGTGATTGAATGCCCACAGAGGGGGCCACAACGATGCACTGAAGGCCTCTGCTCGGCGCGCGCATCTTCTGACCACTGACCACTAACACATTTAGGTGGGAAAGCGGAAAAGAAATCGCAAAAATCGCGATGTGGAAATGGCAGAAGCCGAGACCGATGTCGCGGCAGCGGACGGAGCTGTGCAAAAAAAGCGACGAAAAATGGGAAATGCGGAAGTTCGAAAGATCGCAGTGCCACCGCATCGCTACAGCCCGCTCAAAGAACACTGGAACAAAATTGTATTACCCGTTGTTAAGCAGCTACACCTGCAAATAAGGTCTTTCACATTTCTGCTATGTGTGTGTGTGTGTGTGTGTGTGTCTATGTCTGTGCATGCGTATATGTGTGGGCACGTTTGTGTCTGTGCAAATTTGTGTGTGTGTGTGTGTGTGTGTGTGTGTGTGTGTATTTGCGCTTATTTGTGCATCACTTTCCGTGCAGATTTTGAAAATACTGCCCTAATTTAGTTCCAGTAATTTATTCGTAATTAATTTTGAGGAATCTTTGTTACGTTAATGTCCGGATTTTCTTCTGAGATTTTTGGCTGAATTTTGTCGGTTTTTTTGGTCGGATGATTGGTCAGAAGAACTGATGGCGTGGAAGTAAGGGCTATAACACAAAGGAAATTACTCGCCTTTAGTTATTTTTCAATTTTCGAAAGCTCGATTCCTGAAAACAACCAAAAACAAATTGTTTAAATATCAACGGAGAGTATGTTCCGAAAAATTCTGATCTTTTTAAGATGATTTTTCTAAAAAAAAAAAAACAGAGACTACATCACAACGTGTCTTCTCGCATATGATTTTTAGATTGATCCTTATCTCTTACTCTGTTATTCGTAAATTCTTGAATTTTGCGCGAAACTCGTTATCTAGTAGCAGCCACACAATTGTTCCGTTATAAGCAAGGAATGCTGAATCAAGGATCTTTATCGGATCGTCGATTGTTCTGTTTTGCTTCCTACTGAATTTTCGGGATTTTAGTATCTTGGTTTTTCGTGTCGCTTGGCTCCCGGCTGATAAATGTGATTGTGATTTTGGCTTCGTTTTTTTTTTTTTATAAAATATAATAGCACTGTTTTTCTAGGTTTAACCTCAAAACGCGGAATGTAGAAATTCGCAATCCGGATGAAGCCACTGATCTTACAAATTTACAAAAGGTTTCTTTCGCTTCTTTGTGCGTAGTTCAGCTACGTCATCGGCTCATCACACATTTTGAATGCTCTGTGCAGAGAACTCGCTTTTGCATTCTTTTTTTTTCCTTTTGTTCAATGTCGCAATTGCCACAACTACTTCTTTCAAAACGGGAAAACTGGTTTTGTAAATTTACAATAACTCGTATTTATGCTGATACCATAAGCATGATAAGCGGTACTACGAAAACTTTTTTGCTTTTGTTTCTGTTGAATTTTTTGGTTTCTTTCGTCTGATGCCGAGTTTTTGCCCAGTTTCCAACTCAAATTTTTATCGTACTGGATTTTTTTTCGTATCTCTCAGAACCTAAAAGTTATTGCTAGTTTTCATCAGTAAGAAGAAGAGAATCCGAATGGGATATACTGTTGCCTTTGCTCATAAACGGACGGACGGACTTCCAGTGGGAATGGTGGTGACAAGGTAAACTGCGCAGTAGTTGAAACGATAGGTATCTGCTGTAGGCATGTGGCTCAGCATAGAAGAACTCTGGCATCGCTGCGGCTTGTGGATTAATGCACCTAAGTAAAATCGACATCTCTGAATAGTGGTGGTGGACAGTTTTGTAATTAACGTCCAATTTTTCGGCACAAATTAATGCTCAGAGAAGAGAATTGCTTCTGGTTAAAGATTCAGGGGATAGCGTATTAACTGTTACAAGTGTTTGAGTGGAACGTTCTGATCTACAGTTTCTTCGACAAAAATGGCACATGAAATAGCTCTCCGTAATTTATCATCACCCAGTAGCTGTTTTTATGGTTTCAGGCCGAGGATTTTGTGCGTGCGTTTGTTTTGGGTTTCGATGTTGACGATGCAATTGCCTTGATTAGGCTGGATCATTTGTTCCTGGAGAGTTTCGAAATCAACGATGTGAAGCCACTTAAGGGCGAGCATTTGTCGCGTGCAATTGGACGGATCGCTGGGAAAGATGGCCGGACCAAATTCACCATTGAAAACATAACGAAGGTATCGTTATGAAATGATTTCTAGTAGTTTCAGTTACCCAACGAACAGTGCGTTATTTTTAATGACAAAGTGTGCATTGCAGACTCGTATTGTCCTTGCGGACAGCAAAATTCATCTGTTGGGTGCTTATCGAAATATACGGATAGCCAGAAATGCAATCTCATCACTGATTATGGGTGCGTCGCCTTCAATTTGATGTTTTTTGAGAGTTAATCATCGCCGTTGCAGCACTGTATTTGTTCAAATAAATCATTTTTCAGGTAGCCCGCCTTCAAAAATATACGGCAATCTTCGGAATCTTGCAAGTCGGGCCAGCGAACGCCTCTGACTTCGACGGCCTCACACTGTTGTGCTGTTATTGCTTAACATTTACAATTATTCTTTATTAAATAACTAATAAAAAGTGAAGAAATCTCATGGAGCCAAACAAACAGAGTACGTGGAATGAATGAAACAACAATATCATATTTAAAGACGCTCCAGCGTCAACAAATAATACAGCGTCTCGCTTTTACAGTTTATAATATTAGTTAGCGAGCTGCGCAAACATTTGACCACTCCTTTGGAGTAAAACGCTCGGGCGACCGCACATTTTTCAAGAGTATCAGAGGTTCTCGAACGTGTGGCACGCATATTAGCTCTCATTGGGGCCACATTTCGGCAACTCGCGTTGTTCAAAAGCTCGGAGGGGCTAAAGTCAGTGTGCTCAAACTAAGATTTGAACAGGCTATGGGCAGGCACTTTGTCGTCAAAACGGCAGGTGCAACAGGCGGGGTTTTCTGACTAAAAATCATGCTCGGAAATCCCATTCGGAGGATGAGAAATGCCGCCGCCTGTCCTTTAAAAAGCATAATGTACAGGATTAGAAAAAGCGTTAAATTTCATTTAACTGTGCGGTCTAACCGCAGAAGCTGGCCTGGCAGCTGAGATATGACCTGTCGAGCTGTGCTGATAGCGAATGATAAATTAGTCCATGGGATTTGTCTCCCTTGTGTCGCTGTTTATAGCGCGGACAGGAATGGTAGTGCTGAAGCGTACGGCAGGACTGGCGTAAACTGGAACGGCATTGGATTGATTAGGTGGTAATTCAAAGGCATAAAACGCAGATCCAATGGTGGAACAAATCTGAAAATGGACGGATGGCAAATAATTGGTCAAGCATTTTCGCGTACTTTTGTGTTTGAGTAGTCGCTATGTATCGAAGAACGAAGGGACAAGGGTGGAGGAGAACAAAGACTGCTGGGAAAGATAAAGAGTTTCTTCGTAGCAGCAGAAGTTTCCCGGTATGAAGCGCAGTCTGTCGTAACATGCTAGATTCTTTGCAGAATTGGCAGGAAATATTTAAGGGCCTCATTCAGAACTGACTGCAGCTGTCTAAACACTATTATACTGAACTGTCATGATTGATCATTATACTGAACTAAAATGCCAAAGGGAATTAAAAGGGCTGTGGACGTGAATGGGGTCACAACTGCTTATTCTCCGGAATCTGAGCAACGCAATAAGGGGGATCACTGGCCTGTAACTCAGATTCTGGAAATATGTCTAAGGCAGCCCGACATTTCGCTCGTACTTAAAAGACACTTTTTTGTCAAATTTTTGCAGAAAGTTTCTGCAGTGACTCACAGAAACAGTGCATATGCTTACAGTGGTGCGGGTAGCAGCGGCGTTGGTTGAGCAATCACGGGGGTCCGTGGTCGAGGATCGATAAGCTGTGGCCTTTGGATAACTGGTAGTAGCGGTGGTACTCGTAACGGTTCCTCAGTCTTCGAGTCACTGCTCTTTGAAACGCATGGCTGTTCTGAACACGAAAATTTGAATTCGAAGCAAAAAGCTGCGGGAAGATCATCTCTATAGGCATACGCATGCGATCCTAAATTTGTGTTCACAGAATCAAACAGTCAAGTCTACGGAACCAATTTTATAGCCTAAAAAAGGACAAAATAACGAACTCAAGATTTCGTGAATTTGACCCGCCAAACAAATCCAGTTAAAGTAACACGAGTTACGATTTAAAAATCGCTGCCAGGACTACGAACACAGGTTCAGCTCGAAGATTATTTTTCAACTCAAGAACACAGAGAACTGGAGAGTCAACGTTTTCTAATTCGCTCTGTACTAGAGTTTTCCAGGCTTGCAGACAAGTTAAAAAGGCAGTATGAACAAATAAAAATCAGTTTTCAAGATCTGAGTTGTAACGTTTGACCAAAATTCAAACTGACTTAAGAAATTCCAAAGTAGATGACTTGCAAACTTAAAAATTTCCAGTTCAGTTTCTTGCATAATGAAAACTGTATATAATCGAAAATCAGTTCCAAAAGTTTATTGCCTGCTGGTCTAGTGCCCGATGTTCAAGCAGTTTCAAGATTATAATTCTATAACGAAATAACTTGTGAATTTGAAGTTTCGGCACTCCTCATCCAATGAGTAGGGGCAAAAAGCCATCGTGGCGACATAAAAAATGCATTTTTTACGTACAAATGCTGTTTTCCCTGGCGCTCGCTACTGTTTATCTTCTACAATTTAAATTTTTTGGCAGATCTCAGATTAGTAGCTTTCACTGCCGCGGAATGCTCGATATTAATAATGTGCAGCCACTTGGTCCATTTTGCTGTGGTCCATGTTGGAAGCATTTTTTCTTCAGCAAAATTTGACGTGTTCAGTACGAACAAGTACATTTTCCCGGTCATTTCGGGTGGCTTCACTTTCGCTAGGAAATAAGCCTTTCTTTAAAATGTATACTGAGGGTTCAAGCATATGCAATATGGAAAAACCTTGTTCACTTCCTGAATTCCACGGGCTGCTGACTGTGTTAGCAGCAGCGGTGCTGTTCACATCAGCGGCCGCACTGAGTAGAGCTTTTCGTTGTTTTTGCTGATCTCGCCGAAGCTTTATTTGACGTGCCATCAGTGTACGTCGATTTTCCACCAGACCGCACTAAAAACGCACCATCTGATATGCCCACCAGATTCCTAAGTCAAACAACAGTTCGGTCCAGTAAACTCATCGATGAGAAAATTTTGATTGCAGAATTTTTTGGAAATTCACTTGTATGTATGTATG